CCAGAACAGTCGACGTAGCCAAACCCGACCCGGCGGGTAGACCATCAAACAGTTTACAAGCACGAAAACCTAATAATTGTAAACAAAGCTGCCAAAGAGTATGGAAAGATGTACAAGTTCGTAAGTGCTTGCGTAACTGCTTCGTGAATCTGGCCCCAGATCCCTGGCGAGCAGACACATGGACTGGCTGGAAGCCCACACCAGCCAGTCGTTGAGGTAGCCCATAACCCGAACACTTAGCAGACGCAATTGGGCCACCACAACCCGAGTAAGGCGTGTGAAAACGCGGAGCGCTAGATTAGATAGATGTACCCATGCCACCCCACAACAAAACTGAGCCAGTCCCTGAACCTGAGATTAATTGGGACGTGCCAATACGCAAACCTTCAGTTCCAACAGAAGACGGACCTGGGACCGAGTAGGCATCTGAAAGGAGGGGCAATAAACCCATGGGTTCATATGGGACAATACTAGAATGAACCTAAGGTCTGTGCAGTCCTGTTTCGGAACCGAAAACAGGCGGGAAACCCACCTGAGAGACGAGGTCGTTTTGATAACGCCCAAGCGAGCCCACTCCGAGAGGACCTGACAGAGTGCAGGAGAAGAGGCCTGCTCTGAACCCCCCAAAGGAAGAGGGCCCCCCAACGCGACCGCAGGCCACACGAAACTACCTGAAAGGCCCACAAATCATGGGACCAGGCTCGAACAAACTGAGCGAGACTCCCCCCTCCATCACCTCATCAATGGGACGAACCGCGAAAAGGCCTACACACCTTTTGAGCACTTCATCGGCGCACAAGGCGATCCCCGCGCCCAACGCCGAATCTGGCACCACTGGCCTACTACACCGGAAAGAACCCGAGCCATGGCACGACCCTTCAGGGAAGGCCCCCCCAAGAGCCCTCCAGAGGACTAATAAGTCCGACATAGAATGGCAACTAGATGAAGCTGCCTGCAGATACTGCTCAACTGCAGACTCTGCAAACAGCAATAGGCAAAAAGATGAAGACAGCCTAAGAGCCAGGGCGCAAGTGGATTCCAGAGAAGAAGCGAAAACTACCACCGCTGACACACGAGGAAGGAAGTAAAAAAACTGGCAAACCGCATCCAGCAGAAACAGCGTGAACAGCTTCAACAAAGCAGACGACACACGCACTGCCGAAGGCAACGCACCAGACCATATGGCGGCCCCGAGTGCGTCCACATCCACCTCAAACCAGTCGGAAGACAGCTCGAGCAGGAAGTAGAAACAAAGGGCCGAACCCAACAGGCTATGTGTGCGCAAGTCATCCATGACCAACTCAGTCAAAGGGGAAAGAAACTGCACATGAAACTGCAGCACACCAACATCTCGCGGAAGGGCAGGGGCGAACAACCATGCATTGAGATGCTCAAAGTCGCCCTCCAGGAAAACCTGCAACGCCGTTTGAGCCTCCCGCACTCAAGCGTGAGAAACCAACACAAAGTATGCCAAACTTCCGCCCTAGCAGACCGCCCTCTCTTCTCGAGAAGAGAGGGCGGTCTGCTAACCAGGACGACTCCAGAACTTCATAACAAACCCAATATGGTTTATTGCAGGCAATTATTATTATGTTCATAAAACGATAAACAAATAGTTTTGCTGTTATTACACTATATACACACGTTTTATATAAGAATCTGCATGTTTTTTTCCACCATAACGAACCACTAAGTTGGTATGGGGAGTCCAAACAACAAGACTGGCCGCCACACACCAGTAAGCAGACGCTACCTCCCTCCCTTCCTCCCTCCTTCACCAACACCTCACTTGCCAACATTCATCCTTTCACCATACTGATTTTGCTGTTACAATATTACACTATATGCTATACAGACGTAATATATAAGTATCAAATGCGATATGATTAACACATGCTGGGATGGTCCTTCAAGGGACTGTGGATAGACTTGCTGAGACAGTCTTTCAAGGGACAATAGAAGAGTACATGCTGGGATGGTGTTTCAAATGACAGTGCACGAACACATGCTAAGACAGTTCTTCAAGAACAGTGCACTAACATATGCTGGTGTTATGATAATTACTTTCATGATAATTATTTTCATGTAATTTTGGCCCATTTTATTTAGCCATCGCACTGCGCAGAGCACCTTGAGGCGCTAGATCGGTATATCTAGATTGATGTAGATTGACATAGGTATGAAGTGGATGCCTCGGACCTCCAGTGATCATGCGCCATTTTGAAAAAAAAACCGGCATGCCCCAATTCCATGGGGAAGCTTGGTTTTAAAGTAGCAACCATATCTGATGCATCATCTATGAGCTCCTGGTTCACGGTCAACCACGGTGCTGCAAAATGACTCTCAGATGACGAAATACGTGACATATTGTTTGACAATGGGCCAATTACCGATTTAGACAACAATCCAGATAAAGACCTAATACAGGGGTCTGACACGAGTGATGGGGAGAATGGGATGGACGATGTCGAGAGTGTATATAGTACACCCGCCTTACCCAGCCTACCACGCTGCCCTGGGTCAACAACATTGGAATTACCATCACCATCTGTGTCACCTGACGCGAGTCTACTTGGTGATAGTACATGTGACGAGTCATTTTGTGGCTTCAATAACATAGGCTCAGATACAAGCAGTGTTGATGAACCGAGTGCCAGCGGCTATTGTGTAACTAAGCGAAGTTTTGCTGCCCCAGCACCTCGCCAACACAAGCGCCAGTGTGTCACGCGCCGTGATGACAATGACGACATTGCGCCCTCGACATCAGATGTTCGTGGTTGGCCTATACTACACAAAACAACCTCATCTTCTGGCATACCCATTCGCAGCTCTAGCTCAAAACGACGGAGCCGTAGTGTTGGCGCCTGTGCTGGTGGTGCTCATGCTGGTGTTGGAGCCAAAACCAAAATCACGGGTGAACTTGTGTAGCAGGATTGTGAGAATTTTGTCCCACAAATTCCAGCATGTGATGATACCGATGTTGGTGTGACACCCTTATTCCCCTATACTGGTGATAATATGCCTGAAATTGATTATTTTATGGCATATTTCGATCAGTAATTCATGAACCAGATCAACCGAAATGCTCCGGAACTAATTGACTCTGGAATTTTACTTTCCTCTCGACTGATACGTTTGAAAAACACGACTAATGAGGAAATGTATGTGTTTAGCGTTGTGCATGACGATGAGACTTGCAGATAAACATGTGATCCAGGATTATAGGAACAAAGACAGTCTTGTTCCAACCCCCTTGTTCAACAGGTACATGTCACGTGATAGGTCCCTGCTGCGTCTCAGGTGCCTTTACTTTGAGAACAATGCTAATGAAAACAGACACGACAGACTGTGGAAAGTGCGGAAGATATTTAGTGAATATAATAAGTGCGTGACTATTTTGTACCAGCACAGAATGTTATAAATTAAGCGCTAGTTCTGTTTAAGGGACGACTGGCGTTCAAGTAGTAAACACCATCAAAGCGGCACAGGTTTGGACTAAAGTTCTCGTGTTTCGTGACTGTGAAATTGGTATGATCATGGACATGATATTGTATTCAGGTACGGACATTGACATACCAGGTTAAGATTCACACGGGTTCTCAAGTAGTGTCGTGAAAACACTCATGGAACCACTGCTGAACAAGGGGCATATCCTGTACACGGACAACCACTATACCAGCCCCCTGCTGATCATATTCCTCCTTGATCACAACACAGGCGTATGTGGCACTGTCAAAGCCCACAGGAGGGAATGCCAGTGTTTGGCATTGGTATTGCAGTGGGTGAATGCCAGCTGAGAATGTGTGATAAGATGTTATCCATGTACTGGACGGACAGACGCGAGGTGAATATGTTGACAACTATTAACAGCGGTGCCATGTTGGACAGTGGCAAAGGGAACTTTGCAACAAGGTTCCCAATATATAAACCTGATTGTTTCATTGACTACAATGTAAATATGCGGTTATTGCATAAGTGTGACATTATGGTTGGTGCCATCGAGTGCGTGCAAAAGTCTGTGAAGTGGATGAAGAAATTGTTTTTCTAACTCGTTGACGTTGCAGTGCAGAATTGTTTCAACACGCATCTCGTGAAATCTGGCAAGAGACCACCAATTCGTACATTCAGTGTTGCTCTAGTGTCAACTACTCGTGAAGTATGGGGTGGAGGGCAGGGTTGTGACGCATAGGGTGCCAGCAACAATGCCTGACGTAGTTCCTGACAAACTCAGGGTTAAAAAACACTTTGCTGTAAACAAATTTAGTTAAATACCAAGCACAGGCACACATGAAAAGAGTAAACGTTACTGCGTTGTTTGCAAGAACACGCAACGTAGGGAACATAAGCGAAAATCCATCCGCACTTGGTGCGTTGAGTGCGAAGTTGCCTTGTGCCGTGTTGACTGCTTCAGTGACCATCACACACTCGCGCAGTTCTAAGTGTGTTGCTAGTAATGTATATAGTCTGTGATAGTGTACAATGTGTAAATAAGTTGTAAATGTAAATAACTGAACATGTAATAGAAAATATGAACAACGTTTGTGGACACATTTGTGATACATATAACACAGTTTCTTTGAGCAGTAATGATGTTCTACTGCCTGAATATTGTAAACGTGTTCAATATACATAGGATTAGGAAGAGAAAAACAATAATGCATTTGTAATTGTGCGGGAAAAAATGAACAAAAAATATTTGTAGCAACTCGGGGTTGTTGAATCTGGCACAACTACCTCCAGGAGTCTACGGCATGGGTGACCACCGAGCTGTGACATCACATGACATTTCCTGAACACCACTGCGGCCAAAGTGCTGTACATTTGTGCAATATTTTCAACAAATGTGATCAGGAGAGGGTATTTAACACTTCTGGGAGGAAAACTAATTTATTAAAAATTTATTTTTGGCGCACAACAGGAATGCCATATTTTAAGGCAGCACAGCACGGTGGTTAAACATATATGAGAAGAAAAAAATAAAGGACAAAATTATTACTCACACATTATAAGTTAATCTAATATCACTCTGGCAGTCCATAACATCTTCACTAACACAGTGTAAGACGATGTCCAACTCCTTCTCCAGCAAGCGCTCAGAGTGTGGGCTCAACATCACCTGCAGGTAAACCTTACTAAACCTTGTTGAATACTAAAGTGAGTGGAACAAAAAGACTTTAGTATGATGATTGCATTAATATATATGTAATCCCTCTACAGTTATTACAAAGTTGTGTTTATGAGGTGATGTGTAATAATTTGTGTTACACAAATTGTGTCCCTGTAGAAATGGGAGTTGAAGTTGCCTATTTTTTTTTTTTGAGATATGTACAAGAGTTCTTACATTCTTGTACAGCCATTAGTACGCGTAGGCTTTCGGGCAAGTTCTTAATCCTATGGTCCTTGGAATACGACCCCCATGAAGAATCGTTTTTACAACCAAGTACCCATTTTACTGTTGAGTTAAACAGAGGCTACAGTTAAGGATTTGCACCCAGTAAATTCTCCCCGGCCAGGATACGAACCCAGGACAAAGAGCTCGCGGAACGCCAGGCGAGTGTCTTACCACTACACCACGGAGACATAATATCTCCTGGTAAGTAAGGTATTTGAAGCTTGCATTGGTCAGAAGGTTGGGAAATATATTTTAGATTTACAGTACAGGGTTTTCTCCCATGATATTCTGAGATGTTCACAATTTATTGCCACCCAGCTGTGTTTCCTGTCATTAACCGAGTCTTGTTTAAAGTAACTCTCTGCTCCTTTAAACACTCCATCACATCTGCCCAGTAGGACTTTAGCCTTCCTTTCCTACTCCAACTCGCAGATTTACTCCAGAACACACTACATCCAACCTGTCCTCTTACAAATTACGTCTGATTTTGGTCGTTTGCCCATATATAAACAAATACGAGCGAAAAGCGACGTTATTTTTAAGAGGACGGGTTGCTACATCGTCCTCCCATCATCTATTTGTTCACTGTATTTAAACCATCTTGGCTCACTCTCCTCTATCTTGTGATTTACTTTTGTACATCATATTTTCCAACACATTTTTGTATGATTTATCTCGTCTCCCAAAGCCATTAAACCTTACACCCCCTTCCTACCTCCCACTTATCAAGACTTAATTTCTGCAGCACTTATTCTTGTCAGTGACACTCCATGCATCCCTTTAGCCACATTTATTCCTATTTTGGTCTTTATAATAATGCAAATACCCTATACAGTATTAAATAATAATAATAATAATAATAATAATAATAATAATAATAACAACAACATACCTATACATACAGCATTTTCAGAAAATTATAAAGCCAAGGAAAGCAATACAAAGGTATGTTAGTCATAAAAATATATCCTTTCATTCATAATTATATATTATGTACAATAAATACAAGCATAAACAAAGTTACTGTACAGTACTTACATATGTAAGAGAAGTTAAGTAACTAGAATTAACAAATTTACTTGTTGTTGTAAGTGTTTCAACTACTGAAATGTTAACAGGGCCCATTAAATGTTGCAGAGACAGACACGTATAATATAACATGCTACTTCAATGGAGGAGGGGAGGTGGTAGTTGAAGGGTGTATTGGGTATAATATAGAAAAATAATGAATTTCACAGAAGGAAGAGAAGAGGTATGGAAAGAGAGATAGTGTCATGTCATGACCCAGTTGCACTATATTTTGCATAATATATATTTCCCATTCCTATAATAAATTTAAAATATTTCTTAAAAAAGCATTGACATGTACTAATTGTTGATCGGTGACTTACCTTGCTATCCGTATTCACAAGGTTTATTTCTCCTTGAATTGGGAACGGCCTCACCACATCATCAAATTTTGCCTGAGGAGAATATTAATTAAATCAGGGATAAGCAATTACACTTGGGGCCACGATCCTTCATTACAGTCACCTTTGTAACAACCAATAATAATTGAGGACGTTGATGTAAAACAACAGGTGGATCATGTTCTGGGAAAAAACATATTGCTGAGATATATAACCAGTTCCAGCATCTGGTCTATAGCTTAAATTCTGAACATAAAAAGTCAACTCAGTAAAATGCTGATTAGGCAACTTTAGAAAGTACAATATTTTTCAATTTATTCTGACAACACCGTAATCATTGTTAATCTTTGTATTATGGTTTAATTATTTCAATTAATAGTATAATTTTAGCCAAGCACACTTTTAACTGTTCATATAGTGTTTCACTTATTTCATTTTCATTCTCTGTGAATTTGTTCCCATTATCAACCTTTCGATTTTATCCATTACATGTAACTTTATTTTAATAATTTTGTAGAATAGACCTGGTTCTGTTTTCAATTTGTCCGCTCTTTGTGACAAACGGGATATTAGGACATTAAGGTCCGTTAAGGGCCTGACAGCTGAGTGGACAGCGCTTCGGATTCATAGTTCTGAGGTTCCGAATTCGAGCCCTAGTGGAGGTGGAAACAAATGGGCAGAGTTCCTTTCACCCTGATACTCCTGTTACCTAGAAGTAAATAGGTACCTGGGAATTAGACAGCTGCTACGCGCTGCTTCCTGGGTGGTGTGTAATCAAAAGGAGGCCTGGTCGAGGACCGGGCCGCGAGGACACTATGCCCCAAAATTATCTTAAGATAACCCTTTCTCAAAGTTTCTTTCAACCTTTCTGTTCAACTATTGTATAGTGGCTTCTTGCTTGTTTGTATTGGTGGTATGTATGAGGGGTTAAGCCTCTTCTTATATTTATTTAGGTTTTGTCTTTTGTCCTCAGGCTCTCTCACAATATATATTAAACCAGTTCTGCTTTTTAATTCTTCTTTTTAATTATATCAAAACCCTGTTTTGGTATTGTGACGATAATCTCCTTCAAGAGATTGAGCCTGCTCTTCCCTCCAAAAATACGTCGCAACAAATATATAAAACTACTATGGAAGAAATGTCCAACAACGACAACAACATCTCCAAGGTTTGCCAGAGCACAAAACGTATGCAGCCAGGGACACCTGCTCAGCCTCAAACCGCCAAACTACCTGTCTTGTTGCCGGCTACTCACTGATTGGCCGCCGGTCTGGCTGCAACTGCACTCCACCCCCCCATACTACTCGATGTCTGGGGCCGCCACGACCTCAGTCCTCAGAATATTCAGTGCTTTCATACGGTTAACACTTCTTCCTGGTAGACTGAGCTTTGGCTTAAGTGTACTAAGAGAGGTGATAGCTTAAAGCCAATATTCCCGCACCTCTCATTTTATTGTATATTGCACAGCTTGTTATTGCTCACTTGTCTTAACGTAACTTTTCATTTTTGCCATTTAATTATTCTTATTATTTTGATTGATTGATTTTATTATACGAATTTGTATGTCCATTTTATTCATGTTTTGTTTATCTAACGTAATTAAAATTTCATTGTTAAAATTTACTTGTGTTTTGTGTCTTCTCCTTACCTTACCACAGACGAAGTTCCAGATTTTCTATTTTTTTTTTATTCTATGTGACGAGGCCATACCCCTAGCTTTGAACAGCCGAACACCAACGCGTTACCGTCACAGTATAAATTTGTTTGCCTTCATCATATACAGTATCTCACAAAATTTGTCGCACATATCTACTTCTTTGCCTAACAACAAATCTATCCAATCAAATTCATTAAAGAACTTGCTAAGTTCCCCATAGTGAAATTTGAAATTTACCTGAATTTACCCGAAGGCCACTAACACTCTAGTAGCTTCAATGAGGAGAGGAAGCTGGCAGCTTGTCAAAGATTTTCCCATTTGTCCTGATTTTTTTTTCAAGCAATCAAGTTCTCCACTCTTCCCTTTCTATCCCAGATTATAATTTATTGCATAATTATTAATATTAATTGATTTCCAAAAGGACAGTCACTTTCGCCGAATGGTGGATGGTACTAAATATCAAATATCTTTTCTTTCATGGTAAATACCAGGGAGCCTGATCGTAGAGTCCCAAGAGACACGAACCCTTCGCAGCAAAAGTCAAACTGTCGCAAAATCCCGCATCGTGCTGTGAGCCCGATGCAAGGACGGAGCCCACTGCCCCTGACCGCCTGGTGAGTACTGATCAGAAAGCCCCAGCCGAGAGACGAGGTGTCTGAACACATCTAGCGAGGGCTCGGGGCAGCTCCAAGGCACTGAACCCCGTAAAAACTGAAGAGAAAGTTGGCGACGCAGCAACTGGAGCAAAACTCATGGGATCGACCCAAGCGGTCGCAAAAGAGGCAAAAGTGAGAGCCCCGAAGGAATCAGAACAGGCGCCAAAATCAGACCCAACCTGGCGGGTTAACTAGCAAGGCAAAGTTCAAACTCCCGCACAACTGCTAAAACAACCACCGAGTGACCCGGGACTCCCCTTCCCCTAGAAACAGCTGAAAGTGCGACTGCAGCCGCAGCAACGCCGAAGGAGGGAGAGACACGGAAGCCGTTCGAAAGTCCCACACGAGAACCAGCCAGGTCCAAACCATGTACGGAACCAGATGGGACTACCTCCAGTTCACCAGGAACCTGAACCCAGCGAGCTGGGAAAGAACCACACCCCCTGGCGACCAGACAAGAAGAAAGGCTCTTATATATATTAGCCCACACCAACAACTAATCGAGGTAGGCCAGAGCCCAAACCCCTAGCAGACGCAGACGGGTCACCACAACCCGGGTAAGATATGTGAAAACGCGAAATGCCAGATTTAAGCCATCCAACACCCCAGCTCCAAAAAAACCAGACCTGGGTCAGTATGATCATCTAAAAGGAGGGGCAAATTAAGGAATCCAGCGGATCAGATGGGACAAATCCAGAATGAGCTTTCCCCTCCCCAGGAAGGGGAAGGGGGAGCCCTAGACCCCCCCCCCTCCCGCATCGGCTATCCACACCCAAGTTCTGAGGCTTGATGTCAAAAACACACGAAAAACCTCTGACCGGAGGGAGGGTTGCCGAGGACCCTCCGAGTATTACCCAGAAAACGGTGTTTCATTACATTTAATGAAGGTTTTCTGAGGGGAGCCCCTACGACCTCCAAGAACTACTTACCCAAAGACAAAAACAAGAGGGACTTACCTGGAAGGCGGTCGGCACTTACTCCTCAACTAGAAATCGAGAAAACTGGCTGCAACCGCCGACCCAACGCGACACAGGCACAACTAGACACAGGAACATTGACAAGGTTGCAAGCGGCCAGGACCCTGTTCGACTTCCAAAATCTCTGCGCCTGAATGTCAGCCCAAGACATGTTACCGAAGATGGCAGCCAGCGCAACAAACTTACGAACGTCGTGGGCACAGGGGATAGAAATCAGGCTGGACCGAATAACAGGTATTGCATTAGCAGGGGAGAGGGGAAACAATGCCTAAGACAGCTTGTGGAACCGTACAGAAGTAACATCAATGTTGAATGCAAGCTACAGAAGATCCGCAAATGCCGCATGATACGAGGCGACAGTATTCGGCATAAGATGACGGTCCTGGAACAACCACAAAAGGAAGTAAGGACAAAACAATCCAAACAGAGACCGAAGGAAACCGACGAAGGGACAAGAAAGTCCGGAAGGACCGCCAGGAAGCTTCATACTGCTGCTGAGATGAAGCCCACAGGTGGGACACCATCAACGAAGTTACCTGCTCAACATACAAGTGGTGATAGACTCGAGTCAGAAAGACCAAACGCGAAGACTTCAGGAGAAGATTGAATCAGCCACATAATGGACCGGACCGATCTTCTGAAAGACGCAGAAGTGCGGAAAGACCTTCGAGATCAGACACCAAGCAAGCAGCTCCTGAAACCAAGGCTGGGCTGGTCACCAAGGAGCCAAGAAGACTACTTTCCCTCCAGGTAGGTTTCCAAGCGAGCAAGGACCTGGGACAACAGCTGACACAGAGGGAAGAGGTACAGGTAACCCCCACCACGACCAGCCCTGCTGCAAGACATCAACCTCGACAGCCTCGCTGTCGGGGAAGGGCGCCACATATATAGGAAGATTAACCATGCTGACGTGAAGAGGTCCACCTCGGGGAACCCGTACGTCCGGCAAAGCCAGCTAAATGAGTCGGCGTCAACCGTCCATTCCATGGACAGGGAAATGAACAGAGACAAGCCATCCACCAGGATGTTGGACAACTGCCAAACGTGAACGGGCCAGGAGACCCAAACCCAGAAAACTCAGCAGATGAGACACCCGAAGCGACCAGCCCCAAAAAGCCAAGGACTGCATCAAACCTTCTTGGTTCAGGCAATGAACCACCGGGGAGCAGTCTGAACGGAGACAGATCATCAATCCATGAGAAACCTGAACCCTCCGAAGAGACATCTTCACCACCACAAACTCCCGCACCGTGCTGAGGCCCCGACGGAAGGACGGACCCCACCACTCTGGGCCACTCTAGTGAGCAATGGCAGCAAATCCTTAGCCAAGAGATGACGGGTCCATGAACACATCGAGCAAGGGGCTCTGTTAGACGCCAAGGCATTGAACCCCGAAAAACCCAAAGAGGAAGCCGGTGACTCAGAAGCTGATGCAAGGCACCTGGAGGCCGAACCCAGCTATCGCATGAGAGGCGGAAGGTACATTCCCGAAGGAACCAGAACTACCAGCGAAGCCAAGCTCAACTCAGCGAGTGGACCATCATGCCAAAGTTCAGGCTCCCGCACAAACCCTCGAGCAACCGCCTTGTGACCCGGGAGCCCCCCAGAAACAATCGAAGGAAGACTGCAGCTGCAATAAATCTTCTGGAGAGAAAGACAACGAAGAGGCCAGAAAATCCTACACAAGACTCAGCCAACACCGAACATGAGAGGGACCCGAATGGGACTTCGTCCAGTTCACCAGGAGCCCGAACCCGGCGAGAT